CCCCCATTATAATCACTCGCATATTGTTTACTATTGTTTTATTTTTGGCTTTACAGACGGAACTCCAATCCTTGTTGGGAAATCAATGGAGGGAACTTGCAAGGTGTTTCCTGTGAGAAATCCATTAGATGGATCTGTGAGAAGAACCTTGTATTACCTGCACTGAAAATGTATCACAACAATTTTGGGAGTCTGGAATTTGCTTTGGGAAATAAAGAATTCTATTGTCACAAAAAGCAATCAACTTAGAAGAGAGAAGAGATTGTATAATCTGCTTCCTCTGAATTCTATATTTGCAATTATACGCCGACGTTCAGCAGGAGAGCCGCCGTACCTGGAGGAATTTGATGTCCACCTGTACACAGTCATTCATTTGCCATAAGCCATATTACAGTTGTGCAGCCTTTCTCAACCAGGGTGCTGTGAAACCCTAGGGTGCCTTCTCGCTTCCGGGGTGCCTCCAGCACCATGGAAAGGAATGACGCTAATCTAGGAAGGGTGGGATCCAAATGTTCTCCTCCATCCAGGCCTGCTTCACCTCTCGCCCTTTGCCATAGTTAATGCTCCTGATATTAAAGGGGCTCCTGATGTGAAGGGGGGCTCCTGATGTGAAAGGGGGACTCTGATGTGATTGGAGAACCTCATCTTCTTGTGTGCTTTTCTGTGGGGTCTCCACTGAAAGTCCATAGTAGACCCCTATCTGGGATAAAAGTCTGCAATGTATTTTGGAGGGGCAATGTGTTTGTTTTTTTACATTTTTGTTTTAGACTGGGGTCCCTCAAGATTTTGCATACTTTTATAGGGTGCCGTGACTGGACTTGTGTTAAGGTAGCCCATTCAAATAAATAGAATGCCAACACACCAAAACCATGGAGCTAAATGCACCAATTTGTCAGACCCAGCACATGACAGTGAATGGTGCGTTACTGTGCGTTGTGCTGCTCTTCAATACATGTGCTAGGATGGTGTTTTGCCTTAGTGTGTTGAGGTGTCATTGAAACTGAACGGCACATTGACACTGTAATGCATGTAGCGTGTTACTGTATCACGCCACGACGAACCCGGATAAATGGACCCCCAAATATGAGCATTTATTTTGGGTTTCTGAGTTCACCGGGCTCCTCCCCCTTACCTTCGTTAGCCGACAGAGCCACTTGGGGAAGGGGGGAGGAGTCTGGTGACATCGATGTCCGTGACGTCACTGGATCTCCGACGGAAGACGGAGAGGTGAGTATGAATCAAAAGAACTTTGATCGATAAAATAATTTTGATCGATCAAAAAAATTAACGATTAATCGAGGGATTAATCGTTAATTTCCGCAGCCCTAATTTTTTTTATTATTGTGTACTCCAAGCTGTAACATTTGTATATATTATTCTACATTTTGTAACAAGTTCATGTTTTCTTTTACATTATATTTAAAGTGAATAAAGTCAGAATTTTTTTTAGTTTTGTATAGAGTTGGTTTGCCTTCTAAGGATTGGGGAGATTTCCTTTCACTTCCTGTCCTGGAGAGAAAAGAGGAAGTGAGAGGAAATCTCTTTTCTTAGACAGTTGTCGCCATTAAAATATTTGCACTTTCTTCTTGTTCTGGTGACGGATTCTGGATTTGCCATCACAGTCTGTCTTGGTGATAGCGGTCACCAGTACAAATTAAGAGGGTGAAGCACCCGAATGGGAACACAGACGCCAATAAAAATCTTACAAGGGGGTTTAGTCCTTTCTGAAGTTGTCCATACACTGCCCTGCAGGCTGAGCAAGAAAAATCTCCTGCCCCCCCATCTACAATAAACAGCATGGATGGGGGAATCCTCTTGCTGGGCTACTGTATTCCAATATCGCTGGGGGTGCAACTGTCCGAAAACATTGAACAGATTTTCGGACAATCATTTTTGGATCGGCTCCTTCAATAAAAGTCTATTGAAATATCAACTTTTGTCAAACAAGTGTGTGTTTTTGGGGGGGGTTACCTGTGGGGCCACACAATGGTCTATTTCAATCGAGCCAGCAGGACCAGTGTATGGCCATCCTGACTCTACATGAGTGAATAGCTCTGTATATAAATGCTCCTCTCAGGATGGGGGAGGTATCCGGGTCTCGGGCTCGTGGTGGACGTTTGTTACTTTGGGAAATAAAAGTTATTTGTGGACTTCCCAGCTTTGGTGGTCATTACCGCAGCGCTGAATACTGAAAAATGGCCTGGATGGGAAGGGGGTCTAACACCGCGGATGTCAACTGGTTAAAGAACCCATTGCAAACTCCATTTCTTTTTAAAAGATGAACTACCACTAAAGAATAAGATCCTATATAATTTGGAATCATACATGTAGTCATATTTGTACATTGCATACATACAGGTTACGCTTTACTGCTCCTGCTCACAACATAAGTCTATGAGTTCGCCAGTCTGTTAAAAGCAATGCGCTCCTCATGAGGCTGATATCTTGTCTCATCGGCTATTAAGGTAGAAATAAAAGTCCTGTATGAAAGTCCCAAATGCAGCTACCAAACCATTACCATCCCTGACTGAGCCAAATTCTCCGTCACTTGGCTCTCACATGCTCCTCCTCCCAGACGCTGCAGCTCACAGTGGGAGGGTTTCAATCCTGTGAATCCAGAAACAGTGGACGGAACTAGGCGTGGCCAAGTGCTGAATGATAAGATGCAGGCTGGTGACTCAACAGTGACAATGCTGATAGCCCAGCGTAGTACAAGCAGGAACAGCCTACATGAGGGTGACAACTCTGCTCTGAATTCAGGAACAGTGCAGCATGGCACAGAGGGAGGGCTGCACACACGTTTAACCCTAACGTTTCACCCCTGCACACAGGGGCTTCCTCAGAGGGACAGTGCAGCATCCTTGCCACCCCATCACAGGAAGCTGCATTCGGCCGACTTCGCTGGAAGGATCAAGAGGTATTTGTGGGACTTTGCAGAGGGACTAAGAGACAACTGTAAGTGCAGATAAACCTATATCAAGTGCTGCAACACTTTTATGTTAATAGGAGGTCATAGTTTGACTTTAAAGTAGAACTATGGGGTCAGGGCTTTTCCCCATAGTTCTCCTCAGGGTAACAGGAGGACACAAACTAGCGTCCTCCCGTCACCCTAGGCTCAGTATATAGGGAGCTACAGCTCGCGGTATACTGAGACGCCGCAGCCGGGACGGATCCCGACAATGCTGTTGAGATCCACCCAGCTGCGTGAGTGACAGCTAGCTCTGCCTATCTAAAGGCCGAGCCAGCTGTGCCCGCCCCCTGCCCCGTCCACCAGTCAGCACTGGAGGGTTTTAATCACTTTACAACCATCGCAAGACTAAGGTCTTGCGATGGTTGTAGAGTGTATGGCCACCTTTAGAGAGACAGACGGCGTGGTTGCTTTGAGAGCTCCCTCTGGTGGCTGATCTACACATCTCTATAGTTCATACAATAAAAGAGTCATTTTGTAAGATGTGAAAATCACATTGAAAATGATGTTAAGGTTACACTACAATAATAACTCAATGTACTCACATTATACTACATAGTGACAATACAGAGACTTTCAGTGTCCATCAATGACACTAAACAATACTTGTCATATTGCTATTCTCCTATTGAGTGTCCACGGCGTGCCACCGGGGCTGTGGTCTGTGGTCTGTGGTCTCTGTGAGTATGGAGCTCCTGTGAGCCTGGCTAACGCACATATGAGAACACCTACAACTGAGATCGGCCCTATAAGACACATCATGACACTATCAGATCTTGGAGCGGATGATAATGATTGGACAGAATTTATTGAATACTGAGAACCTGGAGTAGAAGTAATAAGTTCACTTCAAGATCTCATAAGCACCACCTTCCCATGACAATGTTTTCCAAAAGCCTACAGATCAGCTATACAGAGGTCCCCCAAACAAGCAGGAGAAAGGCAGAGGGGATGAAACGCCACTTGACTACTTTACAACACACACAGGTACCATGGGGAACAGACGTAGCCCCCCTCCAGAAGGAAGGACGGTGTCAGAGATGATTGGAGGATCTACAGCCGAGTGATACACAAATAAGATACATTGTTGTTATCAGTTCAGGGATTTGGATGCATTTTTAAGGTTTAACTTCTGAGTTTAGTGTCATTTTAAGACACCCAGAAGTGTTCAGTACTTAAAGCACACAGGGATCAGCAATAAGGTGGAGGTTTGACAGACACGTCACCAGAAAGGTTTTCTACAGGTGGACTTTATTGCACTCCCCACCAGGGACGGCCTTAGGCCTTTAGGCGCCCTGTGCGAGAAAGCTTTACAGCGCCCCTCAGTGACCACACCCCTCCGTGGCCACACCCTTTAGTGGACACACCCCCAGTTACCACACCCATTTTCCCCAATGTCCACGCCATTTAACTACCTTCCGTCCATGGTGAATAAACGTCAGTCAAAGTACCGCAGCGCTGAATACTGAAAAATGGCCGGGCCAGGAAGGGGGTGAAACACCATGGTCTTTAAGTGGTTAAAGACTCCAATTTTGTTAATCCACATTATTAAAAAGCATGATAAAAATAAAACTTTTATTCAAAGGTATTAAACTTGTCGGCGCAATAGAAGAATTCTTATCAAATAAAACAACAGAAGGCAAACAATAAAATGGAGTAGAGCGATGAGGAGGAGAGAAGCCGCCCCGAGGACGAGCTGTGTCGGCCGTCTGGCGAATTTGTTGCCATGGCGCCCCCTGTGCGGCCGCACACCCCTAAGGCCGGCCCTGCTTCCCACCCTGTGCAGACAGAGTCTCTGCAATGATTTCTCTGTTCATAGTTCACTTTAATGATAATAAAAAAATCGTCTTCAGCTGTAACATTTCCCCTTTGTGTAGGTTGGTGGGTGACATTTAGAAATGTTATGCTGCAATCATCGGAGTGTGGTTCCTCCTGATTTATAATAGATGTAACATTTATGTTTCTTCCTCTTCTAATACAGTAATCATCATCATCATCCTCTCTTCCCTCTCCTCTGATAATCCGGTCTGACATGATGAGTCCCATCATCTACTCCGACCTGAAATTCACCCGCACCGCACCGCCCGGAGCCAACCACAGAGGTAACTAATAACTCTAATATTATTCCTTATCACATCATGTCAGACAATCTTCCTCCTTCTGTGTGGAGATCCACGGGAAGATTTATCGTTGGGAATGTAAAACTTTCATTGTCGGCTGTTTACAAACAAAGCCATGTGATCCTCCTATGATAGCAGACGGTGATCACATGATCAGGAATCCCATCCATTGGAAACCTAAAGCTGTCATTCATAGAGCTAAGTGCACGCAGTGCTGCACGCTCCTGGTAGAATTAACATTCTCCTGGCACAGATTTACAGATTGTGGGAGGGAAGGGGTTAAACTGCATTTATTTGATCATTACATCACGTTCTGAGGATTTATTTTTTTATTTCATTTTTATTGCATTGACAGTCAAAATTGTACAACAGTCCCGAGGTTACAGCCATTCACGTATCACAAACATAAAATTAGAGAAGAAAATTAAGGGCCCGTTCCCTCCGGGTCCGTGGGTTAATCGCACAGTTTCGGTAGCATGTAGACCACCTACCGTGCATTAACAGTGTTGGCTGTGTGTTGCATTGCCATTCATTTTAATCAGGCCCGTCGCTACCGCAAGGCAAGTCAGGCGGCCGCCTGAGGGCGCTGCAGGGTGAGGGCGGTAAAAATAGGGCATTTTAACAAGTACTTATACTTATCAAAATGCCCCGATGCTTGCGCTATGTTTTTGTTTTTTTTTCACTTACCTTCGGTGCGGGAGAGCAGCGGCGAGTCAGCGCTGGTCCAGTGGGAGGAGCTCCAGGTGGGGTCTTAATTTAGCTGGCCGGCGACTGGCAGAGGATCCCGACACGCGCGGCACATCAGGCAGTCGCCGGCCAGCTAAATTAGGACCCCACCTGGAGCTCCTCCCACCGGACCATGGGGAGGGGGGCGGGCGCAAAAATGCACCTTGCCTGTGTAGGCAAGAATCCTAGCACCGGCCCTGATTTTAATGGCTCCCCAAATGCACCTCCTGCCCACAATGCAATTAACCAGGCTGCAGTGCGCAGTACCACAATACCATGTAATACTGGTGGGAAGGGGCCCCAAAAGAAGAGAGATGGAGGGAATGGGTTCATACAAAAGGCAACAAAAGAACCCAACGTAACATTTATCTATACCCCAATTATTTTTTTTCTTAGCTTTGGATAGAGTTGGGAATGGTTAGAACCCCGTCCAGATTTTACCACTATCCGGGGCTCCTTTAGAGAGATTTCCCCTCACTTCCTGTCCTGAGGATGTTTTTACTAGACAGGAAGTGAAGGAATAACTCCAATGGAGAGACTCTGGTAGCCATTTAACTTGACAGGAGTTCAGATCCTCCCCCAATCTATCCAAAAAGACTTTAAATACGGCCATCAATCTGTGTTCATGGGGTCAGATCAGAGATAGAACAGATCTGGAAGTAAAGCTGTGAGTCAGAGGAGGAGGAAGGTTGGGGAGAGCTGAGGAGCGATTGCAGCAGACTGGGCTCTCTACCTTGGACTGGAAGTTTCAATGGGGAGCGATGAATGAGAGGGGAGCAGACATTACAATATACACTTTGCTGGATTGGAGGATGACTTGTTAAATGGAACGCTATTATATTAATATCATTTAAAACTGTAGTCATGTTTGTGTTTTTATGTGGCTGGGAGGATTTGTTACATTTGCCATGGTTGCTACATTGTAACTATGTTCCTGTTGAGACGAGGGAGTAGAAGTAATATACTATATTCCTGTGATACAATATCCAAGATCGGGAGGGGTATTCAATGGAAGGAGGGCCATGAGGAAGCTGCTTTGTATATTTTATTGATGAGAATTACCTTTGGATAAGGGATAGCGCTGGGCGATTTGGGAGCGTCGCGCTGCTGGAGACCTGCTCATAATATGTGGGTGGAGTTTAAAAAAAATAATGTATTGTCTGCCAACAATTCCGGTCCTCTGCAATCAACACAGAGCCATGGGCAGCTGTGTCACAGTGATTTAGATGTGGAAAATGTCTGGGTGTCAGCCTATTATCTTCAGAGACTTTCCAATCTTCCACCATTTGCTCAATGTATCCAGACATAAGCACTGAAACCCCGTGACCAGAGGCGTAACTAGTGACCTCATGGCAAGAATCCATGAAGCCCCCCCCCCCAAAGAAAAAGATGAGATACTTAAAAAATAAATAAATAGACAAAACGTTTTTCAAACCAAACCCCCTCATCCCTCTTCCATGTCCCCAGCTTCCCCCCTTCTCATCCCCAGCTTTCAGCTCCCTGACCCCACACTCTCCTCTCACATATCCCCTTCATAATCTCAGCTCCCTATAACTCCCTCTTCGTGTCAGCAGCACGCCTCTGATACCCAGGGAGTTGGAGCTTTTTATAGCACACAGGCAGTTCTACGGTCGGCAGCCAATCTGTGTGATGAGGGGGCGGGGATAACCAGCTTCCCACTCATTGGCTGCTGCGCCGGCTCGATCATTCTCCACGCTGCTCCCGGTGAGGGGAGCAGCGTGAAGCATGCAGGGCCCAGGACAGGAGGAAGAGGTCCCGGTACTGATATTAGCGGTTACCGGGATATTAAATATCCTGGTAATCAGTGGTTACTACGGGCCCCCGTCCTCCTGTCCTGGGCCCAATCTAAGTGGCGGAACTCCAGGGCCCGGTCGCGGCCGCGACCTCTGCGACCCTGGTAGTTCCGCCACTGCCCGTGACACATTGCATGCAAAGCTGCGTGCAGCAAAGGGAAGCGGTGGCAAGCAGACCTTCGCCTGCAGTGTGTCTTGCAATTTTCCATCCGGCGCGTCAGCTTGCAAGAGCTAGCATAGCTGAGCGTCCTGAGATGAAACATTTCATCTTCAGCCAATCGGCTTGCACATATAAACCCGCACGTCAGGATGCAAAGTCCATCGAGTTGTTACATGTGAGCCGATTGGCTGTAGATGAAGCCTTTCATCTGGCTGCGCTCAGCTCCACGCCTCGCTTTGCTCCGCACTGCTTTGCATTGCTTCACGGTGCTTCGTGTGCAGTGTGTTGTAGGCTTTAGAATGTTATATTTGCACCCTTTTGGGACTATAGTCACCTGACATGAGCAGGTCATAGTGTCAGGGTACCGTGCACAGGTGTCCCTACACCGCATGCAGGTACCCTTTCAGGAAGACCAAATGAATATGACCACACTGGATAGGGTTATAGGCACACAGTTTATTTGTACACAGCAAACAAACACCACAACCCCACCAACACCCACAAGCAAGAGAAACAACAAACTAAGTAGAACCAAATGCACACCCAGGGAATATGAGCCAGGTGGACCCAGGGAGCTAAGGGACAAGGGGGTCAGGGTACAGGCAACAGGATACAGCAAGCGGGAACAGGGCTCAGGACTGCAAACAGGTATCAGGGCTCAGGGAAGGGCTACAGGATTCAGGAACTGGCAACAAGGAAGGGCGACAGGATACTGAGCCATAGTCCTGACGCACGGAGGGATTGAATACCCTCCCGGGGATCACCAGAGATTGGATGATTGCTGGCAGCCGGGAGACACCCGCAGGTGAGCACCGGAATTGCAGGTTCCAGCACCACCCAGTGGTGGTCTGGCACCTGACAGTTCCTGGCTGCTGCAGACACCCGCAGGCGAGCACAGGAACTGCAGGACCTTAGGGTTACCTGGAAGTGCTCTGGATCCTGACACATAGAGAGTGTTGGACATAGTGGCCAAAATTCCTTAAAAGTGCCTCCATCACTGATGGATAAGGTGCATGTACCCTGAGGTCTATACACATACCTGTAGCATCTTTGCTTTCCCACAGTATGCTCAAATTTTGGATCATTCGAAAATAGGCATCGCTACCACTTCCTGATAGTGATGGCGCTTGCCCACCCCTTCCACTTCCTACACATTCCTGTTGGCTAGTGATGTAGCCCATTGTAGTGGTGGTCCAATTGAAATGTGCAAAGTGCTGGAGGGAGCATGCAGAAGTGTCGGAGCTTAGCTTGTCCAGAACATCCCGGAATGTGAGGGTAGCAGGGACCCAGATAGCAAGCAATTGAGCTGCAAGTTTGAAAATGACTCGCTAAACTATTGCAGACTTGCCGAGCTTCACAATTTTGTTGCACAGTTACAGCGAGTCTGCATTGCAAGTCTCCAGACCAGCGAGCTTGCAGAGCTCTTGCTAAGACCTGCAGGACTCTTGCTGTAGACTTGCCGAGCAAATTTGCTACAAATTCAAAAAGTGTCGCCTAGAACTTGTGCTGCGAGTGTTCTGCAAGTCTACAACCTGCCAGGAATGTGTGCAGCAAGTTAACAAAATTACAATTTCACCCCGCCACAAGTTTGTAGCAAGTTATCCTTGCTGTCTGGGGAAAAGGAGATCTAGCCCCAGGTATGAGCACCTCAGGGGGGTGGGAGGTCGAGTTGGCTTCTCTTTTAAAGCTGCTGGTAGCTTTCTTCCTATTTTTGAGTCAGTTTGACATTCAGAGGAACTGTCTTTTTTTCCAAGTAGCCGCCTTCTTTCTTGCAGCTGCATAACTGACATCACTTTGTGTTTCTTCTTTTTAACAGCCCCGGAGTTTTTGTGTTCAGTAGTTTGAATATTGCGAACCACTTCCTCTTTTATCGGCAACCTCTGAGCTCGCCATGCCGGTCCTCTGTGTGAGCTGCAGGTCCTCCCAGAGACGTATCATCCTCCATCACCATCATCCTCTGGTGTCCTGCTAGTCTTAAACCATCACTCCCGTTCTAAGATCTTCTTTATCTCATGTATCCTCTATATAATTTTAGATTTGCCCTCTTTTAGGACTGTAGTCCCGTCACCTGGCATGAGCAGGTCAGAGAGATTGTCGGACATAGTGGCCAAAATTACTTAAAGGAGAACTATGGGGAAAAACACTGACCCCATAGTTCTCCTTTAATGAGTTTAGCTCCACTACAAGAGAAGAACACAACAGCATTACCCTCCATATGTAGGGAATTGACCCTTGCAGTTGGTGTGACAATAGACTCAACAGCACTAAATAAGACATTAATGAGTTGAGATCCGACTTTCTTTGCCTCTTATTTATTAATTTTGGATCTTCCATCCACCATTATGAGCAGGGCCGGATTCCCGGTGAGGCCACCGAGGCCCGGACTAAGGCGGCACGGAGCAGAGGGGCGGCACAGGTTTGAAGTCACCCGACGCCCCGAACATGGAGTTCCGGGCGCCGGGCGGTAATTTGTTTTCTACATTTAGCCCTGCTTTGCACAAGAACTGGCTACGGGAACGTGTCCAGAGGGTATCTGTAAATGGCACCTTTTCAGACTGGGCTAGTGTAATGAGCGGTGTGCCTCAGGGTTCTGTGCTGGGTCCCATATTGTTCAACTTATTTATTAATGACATCGGGGAGGGTGTTAACAGCGATATTTCCGTGTTTGCGGATGACACCAAAATAGGGAGGGTAATAGACACGGACTTAGACACTATAACATTACAGGAGGACCTGGATGGCGCATGGCAGAACCTGGCCTTGGGGCGGCAGGCAGGGTAAATCCGGTCCACCATTATGAGATTTTTGTTCTGTAAGCTGTGTAGTTTGTGAATGTGTGCAGTACGTGTGATCAGAATGGCCAGTGCTGCCTGCAAGCTTTATGTATAACTTGTATGACTCACCAATCCACGCAGGACTGTCTGTGCTACGAGAGAGGAAGTCGGGGTGACATTCCTCTATAAATAAATGGTATATAAAGCCAAACCTTTTATTTTTAGTTTTGGGTGGCATGCTGAGGCGTTAGACTCGGGTCTTTATTCCTTTTTAAGTCCGAGTGTAAAGCAGCCCTCCTAATGGTACTTGACCAATATGACTAGTGGGTGCTCGTAGTGATTGCAACAGATAGCGCGGTACCAAAACCGGATGAGGAGATAGGAAGTCACTTCTTATGAATTTAGATTTGCGCCCTTTTAGGACTATAGTCCCATCACCTGACAGGAGCAGGACATAGGAAGTGGTGAGCATAGTGTTAAAAATCCCTTCAAAGTGACTCCATCACTGATGGATAAGGTGCAGGTACCCCAAGCTCTATACGCATGGCTGTTGTATCTCTGCTTTTCCCGACTATGCTCAGACGTTGGACCACTCGAAATTAGACATCACTACCACATCCTGGCACTTGCCCACCCCTTCCGCTTCCCACAAATACCTATTGGCCAGTGATGCCGCCCATCGTAGTGAGGGGCCAACTGAAATGTTTGCAGGGCTGGAGGGAGCAGGCAGAAGTGTCGGAGCTTTGCTTCTCCAGAACATTCTGAGGGTATCAGGGACAAGGATAGCAGGCCCCAGGGATCAGTACCTCGGGGCGCGGGGATCTCCAAACCCAGATAAGGAGATGGGAAGTCACTGGTAGTTTTGTACTTTGCAGTATATATCTGTCAGGGACCCAGGGGGGGCGTTCCTTGTCAGGTTCGCAGGCACGGGCATCGGCACGGGTAGCTCCCCCTTCCTCCCCAGGCAGGGCATCTGTCGCTGGTGTGGCCAGTGCGCGTGCGCAGTACGCAAGCCGCGCGCGCATGCGCGGACGTGCGAGCGTAGTGCGCCTGCGCCATTCCAAGCCACAGGTGCTACTCAGGCTGGGGGAGGACTTCAGCCTTCACCATTTGCCCTCAGCCTTGTGATTGGACTCTGACTGGGGAAGCTTCCTGGTTGCCCTGGCAGCCAGGGGGCAGTACTGGGTTCCCTGTGTATTTGAAGCTGGTCAGAGCCTTGACTCATTGCTGAGTTATTCTACCTCATGGTGAACACCCAGCTCCCTCCTGTGAACCTGTTGTTTGATACAGGGTTCAGCATGTGACAGGGGTTGTTACGTTGGGGAAACTGGCCTTATGCCCCGTTCCCACTGCGCGATATGCAAATCGCGCGTTTGTCGCGCGATGTCGCGTTCAAGCTTGCATTGAGCAAGCTGGAAATGCGGCTAAATCCGCGATTCAAGCTTGCTCAAGCTTGCCCCATTGGATTGCATTGGAGCGCGATATCGCGGGAATTACCGCGCGATAAATCGCTCAATGTGAACGGGGTCTTAAGCTGCAGCTCAAGATGAACCTACACAGGAGCTCGATCAAGAACCACAAAGAGGATGAATATTGCACTCCAGTAGGACATCACTTCTCCCAGAAGGATCACTCCATCCAAAACCTCAAAATGAAAGGGAATTTTAAAAACTTTATTGAAAGGAAAACATTTGAAATTAAAATGATTTTACATTTCAATTCCATAAAGGAGGAGGGACTTAATGTGGATTCTGCTTTTCTCACACACTACCAGAACTTGTTATGAATAATATTCATGTATGTCGTATATCTCTGATCTGTTTAGGGTTTATTGGTCATCCTATGTTTATTTGTTCTGTGTTTTAGTTATCAGGATACATTCTTTACTCCCAGGTCCAACATTTATGACACCCCACTCACCCCCCACCCCCCTCCCCTCCCTAACAACTTTCTCTTGCTTTAAGTGGTAAACGTTGTCATGTTGATTAGTATTGCTTCTGACCTGAAGAAGAGAGGTTCACTCTCGAAAGCTTGTCTTTTATATATTTTATTAGTCCGATAAGAAAGGTATCATTGCGCACTGCAATACTCCGTTTTTGTTTTTACATCTTCTCTACTGGACTAATACGGCTTACCCATTTACATTACACTATATATAATGTATAATATATTCCAGTCACCATGTGGGTCCCGCTACATCATGTGACCTCCTCTTATCTTCATTTCCTGCATCCACTGACTTTGTTTTAATTTCAGACTCCACCCTGGAGGATCCCACCGATGATGGTGATATTATGTATGAGAATGTCATTGGTCCACAACCGGTCAGAGAGAAGAGACCGCCTCCAGCACCTCCAGCACCCGCTATGGGAAGAGGCCGTCAGCTGATGGCAGGTGGGATGTGACACTGTGCTGTACGTTTATGATGAGCCAATGTAAAAACTGCAGCAAATATGTTGATGTTCTGTCCAACCTCTAAGTGAGACTAAACATCGATGTTCCAGGAGAATTGCTCAGTTGGTTTCAGTTTCTAGAAGATCTATCCAAATTATCCTAATTTCTTTCTTTATTGCCCCCGCCTAACTGTTTACAGTTGTACGGCATCTAACAGGTGAGCCATTATTGGGCAAAGTCATCATGGCATTCACTCAAATCACTTCAATGGTGTCACTCTGATGATGGACCTTCCATTGAAGTACATGGGGTCTAAAATGCACATGCAAGGGTAGAACTTTGCAAAATTCTGAAGAGTTCTGGGGAAACACCGAGTGGTGGTGGGCAGGCTGTATAGAGAAGATCAGAAATTAGGTTTAAGATAAGTATAAGCAGAACAAAACCATTGGATCAATGGAGGGGGGAGGGGAACCCCTTATCTGTGGCTATTTAAAGGTTTTACACCTTTTAGGTTGTCCTGGTTTATTATCTGAGCTTAATTGTTTCTCTTGAGTTACTCTACTGATCTGAACTGCTGAGTTTCTTGTCAATCCTGATATAGATTTAGCTTGTTTCCTGACCCCCAGTTACTGATTTCTCCTGAGAACTTATATTCTCCTGGACCCTATGGTCCATTTGCTCCACAGCTTGTATCTTGGTTCCTGATGGGTCTATTGTCATCTGTATCCACAAACTCTCTCATGTTTATAGGATTCCTCCCTCATTCTTTATAAAATTGTCACCCAGAACTTCACAAAGGTATAAAAACGCCATAAAATTTAGGGCCATAATAATTTCAACAGCAAAAAGTACTCAAGGTCCCTGGTCCACTATGAAACTGGAAGACCCAGAGACTTGGCAGCAATGGAGGTGGATTGTGAGATTAGGAAGGAGCTCATAGCTCGCCTTTATGTCTGGTAAAGTTCATGCCACCATGGTCTGTGTAATTATTTTGGCATTTCTGTGTATTAGGCCTCCGGAAGTGCTCCCTGCACCTTTCTCTGGTCTTCCTACTGCTGTGTCTGGTTCTGTCTGCGGCTGTGATCGGGTTGACCATGAAATGTGAGTAATTCCACAAGTCTTGTATGTGGTGAGGGCAAATTGATCTCTCATTCAACCCAATCAGATGAGGTTAATGTTTTATCCACTCTACACACTGTAAGTCAGGCCTCAAAATTTCCACTCGCCCCCTCGCATTTGGCGTGTGAAAATTGCGTGGGGGCGAGTGGAATGTAATCGAGGGGGTGCGCTGCTAAGACTGCAGAGACAGTGAGACACCCGGCCAGAATGTTAAGCAGCAGGGGGAAAAGAGGTTACATGGAGGATCTCTGCACCGCCCCCCCACCACCAGGAGAAAGAAGAGGCACCTGAATACCATCAGCTAAGTGCACTGTAAGTCCCTTTTTATTCTTCCTTACACTGTGCGTCACACTGACCTCTGCGCTCTGCGTCACACTGACCTGTGACTCACACTGACATCTGCGCTGTGCGCCACACTGACCTCTGCCCTATGCATCACACTGACCTCTACGCTGTGCATCACACTGACCTCTGCCCTATGCATCACACTGACCTCTGTACTGTGCGTTACATTACTAACCTGTGCACTGTGCGTCACACTAACCTATTCACTGTGCGTTACATTACTGACCTCTGTACTGCTGACTTCTGTACTGTGCGTCACACTGCTGACCTGGCGGGGTTAAGGCCGGAGCAGGGTAGGGGTTAGGTGGGGCAACTGGTGGCGAGTAACTTTTAAGGCCTGGCTAGTAGCTTAGGACTTGAAATTGTGAGCCCTGCTGTAAGTCATAGGGTGGGATATTCAAACCCTAAGATCCTGTGCTGAATAGGAAAAGTATATTTCCCTTTAACTGTTCTGACAATAGTAAACGTCTTATTGGTGGCTGTGTGTTACTGAAGACTTTGTTCTGCCCTATTATGTCTGTCTGTATTTTACATGTTGCAGATGTTCAGAAGTCCAGCGAGTTCCAGACGTTGGTGACCGATCACCAGACAATGAGCAGCAGTATGACCCAGAGCCTCGGGAGTAGAGACGACCTCCTGAAATCATTGAGAATAGACTTAGCGACCACCAAGACTGAGTTGGAGAAGACCCGTCTGCAGCTGAGGAAAATGGAACAGAACAATAGGGATCTGAACAGCAGGCTCAAGAGCAAGGAGGGTCTCCTGGAGTCGGCGAACAAAGATCTGACAGCTACCGAGAATGACCTGGAGAAGAACCGTTCGGATTTAGAGAAAGCATCACGGAGTAATACAGATCTGAAAAAGGATCTGCAGGAGTGCCGTGATGGACAGAAGTCTTCAGCCGAGGAAAAGACAAATTACTTATCAAAACTGGAGAAGTGCAAACAAGATAATAGAGGTATTTACCCAAATCTTCCAAATCTTTTTACATAGTTACATAGTATTTGAGGTTGAATAAAAGACATT